AAGGAGCGGTGAATGGAGGAGCAGGGAGAAGAGGCGGAGCGGGGAAAGGAGGCAGAGGAAGATGAATGAGGAGAGGAGGAACAGGAAGAGGAGGAGCGGGAAGAGTAGGTAGGGGAGGGCGCAAGGAAAGAAGGAAAACAAAGAAACAACTGGAACAACTGTGGATTGAAAGGCCGAATCACCCCAACGCTGGTTAGAAAAACGGTTGTATCTCTCACCAAGAAGAAGAAGCCAGAACTCCTGGAGCAAATTGCCCAACACATGGCACACCGCCATTCCACACAAGAAGGATTTTATCGCATTGAGGCTAAAATTGAGGAAAGTGCTGGCGTGGCTCAACACATTATGGATCTATAGAAACACGAGCAACCAACACCCAAGGAAAACAGCGTTGAGGTCAGTGATAGCTCCGATAGTAGTGACAATGAAAGCAAAAATGCAGACCCACCTGAAGCATCACCGATCTCTGACAAAGAATGCATTGCTGCTCAGCCGCAACAGGTCTACCAGATGCCAGACCAGCAAAAATGCTATTTTCCACAAAAAAGGAACAACATTTATAGTGAAGAGGAACTACAGGCTAGGAACACTGTGTTCAGCACTATTATCAAAGAAGGACGTTTTTATAAAAGGTGACATTGACTCCATCTTGCAAAAAGTAAAGAATACTGAGGGTATTCCAGCTGAGGGTAAAAAATCCTGTCAAAATATACATCTAAACAACTATGATAAATTGCGCATAATCTGCAACAAAAAGAAGTCCTGTTTTGCACAGTGATACATGCACTGTGATTTTGTAATTGAAAGGCTGGTAACTGGTAAATTTTAAATTCCAATATCGGTAGAGGGACAGAGACAAAAAGAGAAGTTGAAGTAGAGCGAGAGAGAGAGAGAGGTTGAGAGAGTTCTAGATGTAATTTGTTCATTGTTAGTTTGTAGATTTTTCATAATAGTGTTTACTACATCATTTGCAATAAATATTTTGTTCCAACGTAGATATTGTTAAGCTTATTGGTTTATCGACTAAAATTCACATTTCATAAAATGCATACAAAACTACTTACTTTTTATAATTATAAATGCTTCATTTTTGATTTGCAATATGAATTGATTTGATTTGAACAGTTCCATTGTTTCCACTGTTCTGTTCATTGCTAAGAAATCATATGATCTGACTGACATAATCCGACTAAATTACTTGAATAAAATAGTAGAATGTAACAGTATACCTAAATAAAAACGAAAACCAGAAGCAAAGAACAAAAGTAATGTATATCCACATTCATGATAAATAACGTGTGGCGGGAAAACGTTACATTGGAAAAATAAAGTAATAGATGACTATTTATGAAAATTAAAGTGTAGGAATTGTGCTTTATGACATAGTTCTCTATATGAAATAACATTATTTATTTTTATTCAACTAAATATGCTCTATGATATGAACAGGAGTTAGAAGCCATGTACAGTTTATTTGCGTCGATTATAAGAGAAGGCCACTTCTTGAAGAGCGATATGGACAACATTTTAATGAAAGCACAATGCACACCAGTGACACCACAAGCCCAAATCCTGCGAAAATATACGGCAAAGCAATTATACGACAAACTGCATATAATGTGTAGCAAGAAAAAGTCGTGTTTTGCACTGGAGACACGTGTTTGCGCAAGTTGTCAATCAATCATTAAACGTGGCGTCCCAGAGCTTAAAAGTATGCTATGGTTTGTTTAGATTGTTTTTAGTAAAGTTAAAAGTTTTTAATTGTAACAGACAGCACCCCCTTGTGTGCACCCTTGTTTGAGAGTGAGAAAGTGAGACGAGGGGAGATTGGGGGTGGGAGTACGCGTTTCAGATTCATTAGTCTCGTGTAGAATAGATTGTTTTTTCATCTTGTTTGATAAAACGATATAATTGATTTCCAAGCCAGCGGTCTGTTTCGGTATTCATGTACAATATACATGCAATTATTTTATTATGCTTTTCTTTACAAATAGTTTGTGTGTAAAGCTGTAATTTCGCTTAATATTTGTGTTTGCTATTCATAATAAAATGTTTTCTACCATAAAAGTTCTTAAGATTGCTTTATACTAAAATCTTCATTTCTAATAAATCTAAAGATGTTAATGAACTCCTAAAATATAAATCCTTGAAACATTTTGCAATATGCAATTTTAATTTATGAAAATTTGACATATATCCACATTCATGATGAATAACTTGTGGATATTTGCTACTATCTATAAATATATAATCATCACTTGTGGGGTTTTCCTGACATTTTTCCTGATTATGGTGGATATTGGTGAATATAAGGATTCTGTTGTTAGTTGCAATCTAAACACATATCCACTTAACTCATATCTTTATTCACTTGACATAATACAAGATTGTATGGGAAAAATATGGATATTTGCTATTAAATGTTATATCACATCATAATTTCCTCATTGGTTAGAACTATAGCCGTAAGACCAGTTTCGCTAGCGTTTCAGCTATTTACGTATCTTTGTCTGTAAAAATCTGTGGTATCATCAACTATAGCGATGTGGATATTTGTACCTAGCCACGCCCTAGTGGATGATGATGATGATAATTAGAATGGTTGGGATTTCTGGCTACTATTATGTGGAGATCATGCTAAACTCAAAGTGGATCCATGACCTGTGGATAGTACTTGCCGAATAGTATTGCGGTAAATAAAATAACTCACATTGTAATATAATTCTCAAAATAACAGCTAATGGCCTCTCCATCATCATCCGTTCAAGCTATTTAGCATGTTATGATGTCACGTCAATATTTGAACCATATGATGTGAGTACGGTGTTTTAGCTAAGAGTAGAGAAAGAGACAGGGGAATTTGCCACATTAGTTAGCCAAATTCCCAGGGACGGCACGGTGAGGGGACCCAGAAGACATTAGCTGGCATACTTAAGAGGCAGACATAATATCAACGTGGACAGACGGCATTTCCAAACGGTAGCGAACCACAACTCAACCAGAATGGCTGCGGGAGTTCATCAAACGGCCATCATTAAGGGGGCAACATCGACGGTGGTCGGCGTGCCTACCTGGTACCGTCGTACGTTGGTACCTTAACCTTGGGGAGAATTGCAATGGCTTTTCCTGAGGTGATGGCTACCATGATGCAGAGAGTGAGCAAGGTGGCGGCACAGAAGTATCAGCACTTCAGAAACCTGGAGAACTTGCCAAAAGCGCTCCAGTTTCCAGGTGCTGCAGCAATTATCCCTGCATCATGGGGAAAGATGCAAATGGAGCATTTTTTGTGGTCTGTGGGTTTCGCTGTAAGCGGTCGTTGTACTCCCGACCCGCGACACAAATTAGTAAACAGGTCAGACGATGATGCGGACGGTTAAAAGAGAGAGGTTTTGGTGACAACGGGAGAGACGTCGGCAACATCTGACCGCTACGTGTACACTGTATTTATCCGTGTTTGCAATAAAACCGTACTTACCACTGCTTACTTGACTGTCTACGTCTACTATCTACGATCAACATATATTCCACTCTACATATACATTCATACACTTAACATGATTATAGATATCTGGCACACACTTAACAATAGCTTATGAAAACCTTTCTTTGCAGATAAAATCAAATAGAATAGAAATATGGAGAGGAAGGGGCGTGGCATTTCTCCCATGGCTAGTACAACTGAGCATGAATACCGTTTATGTAAGTGTGTTTTAAGCCCGGCGCACACGTGAGTAATTTTACTCAAGTAAAATGATGCATGCGTCAAAATGCTCACGTGTGCGCCGGGTTTTCGTTGAGTTTTCTGACGCATGCATCATTTTACTTGAGTAAAATTACTCACGTGTGCGCCGGGCTTTAGATATACAGACGTTTATTGTTATGGATTTTGAATGGGTAATTAAGACAATTCTGGCAGACGTCGTGTCGTGCTGTGGCCGCTCGCAAACGCCGAGGCAGAATGCTTTATGAAGACGATAAAGAAGTCAATTAAAGCTGCCATAGCGGAAGGGAAAAGCTGAAACCAGGAGCTCCACAGCTTTCTACTTAACTATCGAGCAACTCCTCACAGCAGCACTGGCATACCTCCAGCTACGCTGATTGTTTTGTTCAGGAGGGCCAACAAAACAACCCTTCCCCGGATCGCGTACGAGCAACCGCAGCACGACGTCTGCCCGAAGTACAGCGAGTCCAAGGCAAGGATAAAGGTGTACACGGATCGCAAGGCATACGTCAGAAAATCTCGTATAAAAATTGGTGAACCTGTGCTCATGAAGAGAGAGGGAATGAGAAAGTCTGACCCCCCGTTTGATCCGAAACCCCTCATCATTACGAAGAGAAATGGATCAATGGTGACGGCAGAATGTCATGGTAAGACGATCACCAGAAACTCGTCCCGATTCAAACGCTCCCCCACACGTACAGAAGACGTCCCGACGTCGTCTGATGAGGAGGAAGAAGAGCTGGGTCTGCAACAATACCACGGACCAGACGATCCGCCGCCGGACACTGTTGTCCAGCACGTGAAGTTAACAATATTCTCAGATAACCTTCACGTAATTTTCTCACATAAATCTTCATAACGAATCTTCATATCTCACATGAATTTTCTCTGCATAAATCACGGCAGCCATACTAATTGAGACTCGCAATGCGCGTGCTTGCAGGAGCTCAGGGAGCTGGTGGCGCAGCCGACGCAGCAGCTGAAGGATGAAAAGAAGAAGCTGCTGCTGATGGAGACGCGCTACCCGAGATGCAATGTAGACCGCAGCGAGAGCATCGGCTTCTGGAGAGATTCAAGGACTTCGTCATGAAGTAGAACTAGCTTCATGCTACAGGGAAAAGCAATCTACCCTGACCCTGAGATTAATTGTTGTTAGAATGCACCTTATACAAACAGAGTTCTTTTCAATTTAAAGACTGTGCTAAAAGACTGAAGTTTACCTTTAGTACCATGTCTAATTTTGTAATATGTATGAGATATTCGTGTTTCATCAGCTACTTCAATAGACGCAGGCAAAGTTTCCGATGACGTCTATGCAGCCGTGGGAGCAGTTTCCGGGTATCAGCTTTCTTCTAGCCATGGCGGCTGGACGGTGGCTATCGTATTCAAGAAAAGCGAAACGCCAATTATTCGATTTATCTGTAGCTGATGGGTACACTATAACGTGTACAACTCCGTCCGTCAGTTCCTGTTTCATTTCGTTTTTAGGTATACCTCCAACAAACAACCGGCAGTTATCAATACTCGGGCACACACCAAGGTACCGACCCTTACGTATTTCATAATTGCTCAATTGCTTTACTGCGGTCGAGGCATCTTCTTTGTTAGTGAACATGCAAAAAGCATAGCCTCGGTTGGAACCAGTGAAATCCATCATCAACCGCAATTCAATTCATCATCTTCGAAGTGTGTGGAATTTTACCGATGAATACTTCACATCCACGTGGCAGAGGCGGTCCGTCCAAAACAGGCGGAGGTCCACCATACTTTCTTTGGACATTCTCTTGAGCTATTGTGAATGCAGTTCTGTTCATTAGATGTAATAGGGCAGCTTGGTTTTTGACATTAGTAGTACTAACACATATCCACTTAACTCATATCTTTATTCACTTGACATAACAAGTTGTATGGGAAAATGTGGATATTTGCTACTAAATTATATTCAACATCATAATTTCCTCATTGGTTAGAACTATAGCCGTAGACCAGTTTCCTAGCGTTTCAGCTATTTACGTATCTTTGTTAAAAATCTGTGGTATCATCACTATAGCATGTGGATATTTGCTACCTACCACCCTAGTGATGATGATGATGATAATTAGAATGGTTGTGGATTTCTGCTACTATTATGTGGAGATATGCTACTAAAGTGGATTTTTGCTACTAATTTAGTAACAAGTATCCACGCCTGTGGATACTTGCCGAATAGTATTGCCGAGTAAATAAATAACTCACTTTGTATATATAATTCCTCAAAATAAACGCTAATGGCCTCTCCATCATCATCCGTTCAACTATTTACATGTTATATGTCACGGTCAATTTGAACCATATGATGTAGTACGGTGTTTTAGCTAAGAGAGAGAAAGAGACAGGGGGAATTNTGAGACGCCGGGAGACGGGGGAGACGAGATGGAGGCGAAGAGAGAGAGAAGACGATGGCGCCGGATAGTTAAAAAAAACATCGTCAAAAATCTGAGCCGGGCGCAGGCCACTATAGGTTCTACGCAAGGCATACATATTTGGCAGAACGCCAGCATAAATGTGATGTGCTATATACAATGTATGCAAGACGCAACACCAGACAATGTGTTCTAGACAGATACGCCTGCCGCAGTGTACTGTTGGACAAGGCTGCCACTCGTAGGGAAATCCCGCTACGTAGGGGGTTGTTAGCCTTCGTAGGAGGTGGCGGAGATACCTGACGGTAAAACGAGCAATTGGTAGGGGAAGTAGGGGGTTTTTTGAATTTCAAAAATTGTAACGCCTTTTTTCAATAAATATCGAAACCTCAAAATCCTCGTGCTGATATTGATGCGGGACAAGCCGCTTACGCGGCGGGCGTTGCCGTAGTCACAACAGGGCGTGTAGCCGTTCGAATGCCCAAACAACATACTCGACATACGAATCTATAGTACACAATGCGAGTCGTATGACACTGTGGGGCTCATACTTCTGAGAATTTTAGATTTTGAAGGCGTGACCTACGGCGGCTGGGCGGACGTCATTAAGATGACGTGAGCACGACTTCAAAAGTGTCAGTTTGCTGTGCGGGGACCGAGGAGCAGCTACTACAGGGGCTGATCAGTCCCGACTTGCATTTGACCGTGAGGACTGCAGCCGCATTTCTTGACGCAAAGATCTCACAGCTCGCGACTCACGCTGACAATATCTGATACATAAGTCGTCACGCACGAAAAAAGAAAGGCTGAAATATCTGACGCACAGCAAAAATCTTACATATCTGAAACAGTCAGCTTTAGGATGTACCAAATTGCACAAATTGAAGTTATAAAATGCCAAAAAGCTCCCTAGCGTGGAGGTGGGAAACACCCTCCCCCCCTCGGTCGCTTCACTCCTCGCCTCTCACGTCTCACTATTACCCAATGTTGGCATGCCTGAAGTACTGAGTGTACCTGTAGTAAGTTGCACTTTATTTGCAGGCATCTATAGGCTGCTATTTTATGTTATAATAAATCTGCTTAAATCAGATTATATATTCAAGAGTGAATCCTTCTAATATTCACTGTGCAGCGCTTTGACACAGCGGTGGCCACTCGCCCGGCGGCGAGTAAGCATTTTCCTGGGCGACTCGGAAGATCTATCACTGCAGTGCTGACCAGCGCTGCCAGCTGGCCCAACCTATATTCTTTGGGCGACTGTGATATTTTGCGCGTTCATTAAGCCCGGCGCACATTGGCGAACATTTTGCTCAAAACATTATCGTAGCAATGTTGCCATGAGATCGTTCGGGCAATGTGCGGGTGAAAAAAGTCGCCGACATCCTTGTTCCAAACAATGTTTCTGAAGATCGAACATGTTGATATACTCCGAACATTGTTCGTAGGAATGTTTCGTACAATGTGCGCTGAATGTCGAACAATTCTAGGAACATTCTGTAATGCTATCACGCGATGCCACGACGCCGATCACGGTGGCACTTCTACAACAACAGCTACTAAGACGGGCGACCAAGGAGGTTGTTCGCTGCCGCAACAATGTTTAGGCAATGTGCTGGTCAGCCAATGGGAAACTCGTGAGCCGCATTGCCATTTTAGGCACCAGGCGGCAGCACAATCGTCGCGGTCCAACACACATTTTTCTTTTTGTTGCCAAAGTGATCTTCAACAAGTTTGTCTTTGCCGAGATTTTCGTTTTAAAAACCATGCCAAATGAACGGGAATATGGAAAGTGGAAGCTAGGCGAATTAAAAGAAGAGCTAGGCAAGAGGAGAGCCAAGAAAAGCGGGAAAAAAGCCGATCTTGTGAAACGGTAAATTTCCAAACGAGCGATAATACTAATATAGTAATAGCCATATTTACCTAGGCCCATGTCATTGGAAATCAGATACTGGTCAATGTAATGGAATATTTTTTGCAGAATAAGTTAAATACATATAGTTTCTTCAAAATGTCAATTTCTATAAACAATCTATAAAAACTACACCCCCCCCCAGGCCCGTGCAAAGCTGGTAATAGGCCTAGGCCGGATGGGAAATGTAGGCTCTATTTCAAACTGCTCATAAGTATTTTTGTAATCAGTGCTTAAATGTGTCACTAGTAATGATGATAATGATGTTGAACTATTTCTATAGATTAAAACTAGTAATTATATTGCATGTTGTTTTATACTTCAGCCTTGAACAATATGATCGGAACAATAACTTTGGTAAAGAACAGCTTGAAGATGAACATGCATACAAGATCACCACCCCACCAGCAGAAATGTATAAAGACCTCAATGCTGACTCAGAGGTACTATTTTTATTTATTTTTTGGTTCTTAAATTAAATCACACTTTCTATTTAATTTGTTGTTGTTGGTATTTATTATATGTTTTGTTGTACATAGTTAATGTATTTAAGTAATCCTGTTCTCTTTAACTTTGAACATGTCTGCCTTTTTTTTATTTTTTTGACTGACAGCCAGTGAGTTGAAATAGTAGAATGCCAGATACTAAACGCCTATCTCACCAGACGTTTAGTGCTGTACAGAGACCATCTGTTTTACATTATGAATAAACCTGTGAAATTTTACTTCATTTAAAACAAAATTAATATTGGTGGTGTATAGTACATCGGCTGTATTTCTTAATCACAGGACTTATTTGCTTTGATTTCAGTTCCCAAATGGTGCTTCAATCGGTGGGAGAGTTACTTATCTCCATTTAATGCCACTGTTGAAGACAGGGCCCTTTGCCAGAAACTTCGTAAGGTTGACGTTATTAATTTTTAAGTCTAATGTTAATGCTCGGTAATGCCGTTAATTTTAATAAGCGTTGCAGAAAACCACTTAAACTAAACTTACCTTTAGTGAAAACTTACGATAACAGGAACTTCATCACAATAAGGCTGCCTGATTGGTATGGGTATCTGATCACAAAAATTCAAATTCAATTACACAATTTTATTGTACATCACAGGTGATTTATGCATATTATGATGGCTAAAACACATCATAAATTAATATTTGATGAAAATTATTACCGTGGCGTCATGAATATAATTCTGCACAACAAGCAAATGTCTGCACACGTGCATAACAAGAGACGCCGGAGAATCGTGGCAAGCGTTTGCAACTATTTGAAACAAGCGGATACAATGCCATACGTCATTTAATAAATGTATTGTTTGTGTTTATATTAAGGCGGTAGCATAATTAATTGATTTTGAGGTGTTTTTCAAGAAAACATCACATCCTTTATTCAATTATTTAAAATACATATAATTATCACTATATTGTAATTCGTGGTGTAAATGTGTTATTTCAACTTAATATTAAGTTAAGGAGGGTCTAGGATCTCTTAAGTTATAGAGAAAAGTGACGAGAATTTTTACTTCTCTTACACTTTACGAAGTTTTCTGCAACGCTTTACAGAAAAACTTAAGTTATAAGGGTTAATGTTAGACTAATTTTTTGGTCTGGCAACGGGCCCGCAGGACAAACTATATACAGAGCGATTTCTGTATTTCGTCCGGGCTGCCTTCAGTGAAGACAAATATTTTGTCACGGCACGCTGTGCTGCGGAGATGAGAAAGTCGACTGTTTATGAAGTGACTGTAGTTGTGAACAATGTCGGTGTCATTGTAGAAACTGAGTGTGAGTGCGCAGTGGGCGAAGCTCCCAATGCACATTGCAAGCATATAAAGTGTGTTCTATTTGCACTCGTTAAATTTTCCAAGGATCGGGAAATTATCTCCAGGGAGACCTGTACTCAGAAGTTGCAAACATTTCATCATTGCAAGCCATACAGAGGATCTCCCTTGAAAGCAAAACAACTGAAGTTGCGTACTTCTGGACGTGGCCGAGATCTTCCAAACATTTATAAGAACTTTGATCCTAGACCTCCTACCATGATTGACAAGGACTCCAATATATCAGCATTTCATATGCTTGCATCAATTATCAATCATCTTTGGGAACTCAAAACTCGCTTCCCATGCCCATCCTACAAATCATCCCACCAGCAAACATTTACGGTATCGCCCAATGATCATGATTATCTCAAAGACCATCCTGAAGATAAATCTTAAAAGTATGGTGTGAAAGACATTTCTGCTGAAGCTATTACCAAGCTCGAGGTGGAAACCAGAGGACATCAAAAAAAAAAAATGGAAAGGAGAACGTTGTTTGCGCCTAACGTCATCAAATTTCGGGCGGATTTGTAAGTGCACTGACAGGACGGACAAGAAAGTGTTGGCAAAATCATACGTAAAGTCCAAAACAATTGATGCAGCCCCATTGAGGCATGGCCTCAATATGAACACATAGCTGTTCAGGCCTATGAGGAGATGAAGGATGTTAAACCACACCATGTGGAATGTTTATTCGGAATCTCATCCATTCCTTGCCAGTACACCGGACAGATTGTCAGTGACAGTATTGTGCTCGAAGTTAAATGTCCATATGTGAGTCGTGAACAAAAAATCTCACCAGACACTGTGCCATATCTCAAATCCAGAAATGGAAGTTATTTCTGGACCCACAACATCAGTACTTTTACCAAGTTCAGGTCAAATGTTTTGCGCAAAGCGGCAGCAATGTCATTTTGTTATTTATACATTTAAAGACTTGGAAGTTGTTGTTGTACAAAGGGACAATGAATTCATTCAGTCGATGCTTGAACGTCTAACTGACTTTTATCAGCAATATTTCAGACAGGCCTTGTTAGACACAATTTTTTACAAAGAAACTGACAAGTATGCATTTGATGAAAACAATGTCCTGTGTTAAATCCATATATATGTATGTTGATGTTAGAAATCTGCTACAGATTTAATATCTTTGATATGAATATACGACAATTGATTGTTCAGTTGTGTTTCATTGTCATTATGTTACTGATAGGTTACTGATGGGTTTTTTAGGGTTTTTTAGGTATTTTTTAGGTTGATTACGTCACCGTAAATAGTAAAAAATGAAAAAAATATTTCTGACTTTTTCACAAAATATATAAGTAATTCTGTGTTTAGCATTTTATGGTTAAAATTGCTGCATTACTACTTCTATTTTACTTTATTGTTCGATTACAAAATTCGAGATCTATGACGGACAGTTTGATGTGGATTCCATCCTCGCCACATAGCCATAGCACACAGCAATTAACTAGTTAGAATACATTTATTCAAATATGTCCAGGTTTTTATGTGATTGTCTTTAACTAGTAGAAAGAAACATATATTATCAGGCTTAACAATTTGATCGATTTTGTTTAGTCCCATTAAGTCTCTTTTACTTTTAATGCTAAATAAATTGGGATATTTTATTTTAGAAACAAATATTTACCATAGAAAATTTCAGTGAACGTAGATCCCTTTAAATTACAGAAATAAATGATAGTAAATAATACATATCTTGTCCCATTTGAAAGTGTTCTTGTAATGTTGTATCACCCCGTTCAAATCAGATATCATTGATATGATTTAAGCCCATTAACCTCCCTTTTTGTGCTTTGTTGCCATATGGCACATGTTAATTAGGATACCAAGTAAAACTTTATGTTAATTTAGGAGCACTTTATATCCTCAAAAAAGCAATGTAGTCGTATGGCACCGTATTTTAAATGCATCTGCACCAGTCGGTGCTGCCATCTACATTTCCAGTAATGGCGGCGCCCATGAGTGGTTGACAAGACCAAAAGTTCCAAGACAAAATTATTTATTTTCGACTTCGATTACGTGTAAATTGGTAAGTTATGCATTCATTATATAGATAAATAATCATAGAATACCTATGTAACATGATGCATGTCTAGAATTCAAAAATTGTGCGGCCAGAGGGCCATAAATATGATGTAGCCATATGGCAACATTGTCCACTATCGTTCGTTGTTGACTGCGCCATATGGCTACATTGGTCAGTTTCGGTAACTTTATGTTTATGTGATTATTACACAGTTTACTCACTAGATTTAAACTATAAATGGCCAACTATCGGAGATAAGTTGCACAGTGCTGTACCAACGTAACACATTTTATAGCTGTTCCTAAATATGATACATTTCATGTAATTTTGGCATAAAAAATATTAATTTTTTGTCTTTTCAGGTTGACAATATGGCATTCAGTACAAGGTATTTTTATGGAAGGACTGGTCCCACTACAGCTGTTATTCCGGATACTGGTGATGTATCTGATATTGGCGAGTCTGATGATGAACAAGACCCTTCAGGGCAGCCACTTGGATCAGCTTCAGAGAGTGATTATGAAGATGAAGAAGAAGAGGTTAGTGTCGAGGAAGACAGTGATGAGGATGACGATGCACCTCCAGCATCATCTGATGCACCTCCAGCATCATCTTCAGCATCATCTCGCAAAAAAACACAGTGGAAATACAAATGGAGAAAGGTAGAACTAGATCCAGGCAATGTTGATAAAAATTGCCAATTCACCGTACCTGAAGGTATATATACACCTCTCACGTATTTCTCAAATCTATTCACTGATGGTTTGTTCGACCTGATCGCTAATGAAACAAACGGTACTCTGTGCAGAGTCTTGGAACATCGATCAATACAATACTGATGAGATTAAAACTTTTGTATCTGTGATTCTCGTCATGGGAGTGATCAGGTTATCGGCCTACCGCGACTACTGTCCAAAGCGTGTCGGATTTCAGCTGTGGCAGATGCCATGTCTCTCAAGCGGTTCGAGAAAATACGCCGCTATTTACATTTTAGCAACAATACTGAAGCCGATCCTAATAATAGATTTGCAAAGGTACAACCTGTGCTGGACTTGATCAGAGAGCAAATTTTGAAGATTGAGCCAGAGGGTGATTATTCTATCGATGAAACTATGATCCCATACAAAGGAACTCGAGCAGGAAATTTGAGACAGTATATAAAAAACAAACCGAAAAAATGGGGATTCAAATTTTTTACAAGGGCAGGTGTGTCCGGTATCGTATATGACTTTTTACCGTATGCCGGTTCCTCCACATTCCATGCCACAGCTTTTGACGATCCCAAGGAAGATGAACTGGGTTTATGTTCAAAATTTGTTACTGTGTTGGTGAGATCTATTGTAGATAAAATGAACTCGAAGGTTTTTATAGACAACTATTTTTGTAACCTTGAGCTTATTGAATTCCTCAAATCACAGAAGATATTTGTACTGGGCACCATGCGTAGAGACAGGCTTCGAAATTGTGAGCTTGTCAGTGACAAAGTACTATCCAAGAAAGGGCGAGGGTTCATACGATTACCTGACGGATAGATGCTGCATCACCGTTGTCAAATGGGTTGATAATAAGAATGTTATTTTTAGCTAGTTCATTTGTTGGTATTGAACCCGTCGGGTCTGTCAAACGCTATGACAAGAAAGAAAAGGCTAAGGTAGACATACCTGCTCCTGCTGTTGTGAAGATGTACAACAAGCATATGGGCGGCGTGGATCTTGCGGACATGTTAATTGCACTCTATCGAACCCCTCTCAGGTCCAAAAGATATTACCTCAGGGTATTTGCTTATATGTTGGATATGTGCGTGTGTAATGCTTGGTTTCTGTGCAGACGCGATGCAGCCATATTGAAAACTAAGTACACTACAGGTTTGAAAGCATTCAGACTTGATATAGCCTCCAGTCTCCTTCTTGCTGACAGGATCCCTACTCCTAAGAGAGGAAGACCTATGGGGAATCCTCCAGAACCTGCCATGAAAATTAGACGACCCACAGTGAATTTGCCCGTTGAAGATATTAGATTCGACCAGAAAGCGCACTGGCCAATCAACAGCAGCAAAGGCCGGTGTCGCAACTGCAAAACAGGCTGGTCACGTATGAAGTGTAGTAAATGTGACGTCTTGCTCTGCTGGACCAATGAAAGAAATTGTTTCGTGGATTTCCACACAGAGTAGACTAGTTGTATGTATAGTTGTACCGGTAGGCCTATATGATATAAGAATAGTGTAAAATCACTGGTGTTGTATGTTTTACATGAAAATGATGTAAGAATAGTGTAAAATCACTGGTGGTGTATGTTTTATTACATGAAAATGATGTAAGAATAGTGTAAAATCACTGGTGGTGTATGTTTAATGAATAATGATTGTAAGAATTAGTCGTTAAAAATCACTGGTGGTGTATGTTTTATTACATGAAAATGATGTAAGAATAGTGTAAAATCATTGGTTTTAAATAAAAAATATATATTTCATTTAGTGAAACACTGTATTTTATTGAGTCATTTCCTTACGATATGGCCATCTAGCCAGACATCTATGTACTACATCCATTTTTAACCTAAGATGATCAATGTTGCCATATGGCTACTACCCCCAATTTCCCCCAAAATGGGGTAAAATGAAAAAAAAACACTCTAGTGCATTTAGATACCCCATCTGATGATGTGATAACGTAGAAATAATTTTACTATACCAATTTATGTTTTGGCACAAAAAGGGAGCTTTAGCGTCTGAGCGAGCAAGTTATACCCCTTAGCAAGGTACAGGCCTTCGCTATATCAAGCTTAATAACCCATCAACAGCCTGACGAAGGTGCACTCCTAAGGAAAAATATAACCAATTACAAGCCTCCAGGCCTGCTAGCATGCTAACAGCCGCCTTAAGAAGCCTACAGGTCTGCTAGCACAGCCTTATACCCTGACAAGCCTAGCAGGTGATTGCCTAGCAGCTTAGTAAACCATCAAGCTAACCTACGCAGTCTTGCGTAGCAATGTAATAACCATTCTTTATTTCATTAACTCATTATTAATTAAGAAATTAATTAAAGTAAATTAAATTGAATTAATTAATTAAATGATTAAAGTATAAATTACATTAAATTTTAAAGAATAAATTAAATTAAATTGAAATTAAATTAAATTTAATTGAAATTAAATTGAGAAATTGAAAATTAAATTAATTTAATTAAATTAAATTAAATTTAATTGAAATTAAAGGTATAAATTACGCAGTAAATACCAACGTGAGGAGCATGCTTCGTGGCCTAGTGTTAGGCTACGTAATTCCTGGATCCACTGAGGCTATGAGTTCATCCCGGCCGGGAGGCAATAAATTTTCTCAAGGTGTAAAACCTGCCTCTCAACATTGGAGTGCGTGTTGAAAAACCATCCCCCGTGCGCTTGCGATGACCACGTCCGAAAACAAATTTATCGCGACGTCATCATAAATTACCAAACGTCATTATGCTCTATACCTATAGAAATAGAGACCTAACAGGAGCCGTTAGGTAGCATGGCCTATAAACCCTCTTACAAGCCTACGAGCCTTGCTAGCAAGCTAACAGCGCCTTAAGATAGGCCTACATGCGCTGCTAGCAGCTAATAAACCCTTAACAAGCTACAGTCGTTTGCGAGCAAGCTGTTAAACCGATATTACAGCCTGCAGGTTCTGTAGCATGCTATAAGCCCCTTAAGTAGCCTACAGGCCCTAATAGCAACGCGTAACAATGCCTCTTAAGAAGGCCTACAGTCCTGCCCCTAGGCAAGCTTTATAACCAATTAGCAAGCCCTACAGGCCTGTAGCAGCTTAATAACTCCCTTAAAAAGCCTACAGGCGATTGCTAGCAAGCTTATAACCCGAATCAACAAGGAGCCATAGGCAGTCTTGCGAGCAGCTTGATACCATTAACAAAGCTACAGTCTGTTAGCATGCTAATAGAGCCTCTTAAGAAGCCTTACAGGCTCGCTGCCCTTAGCAAGCGGTATAGCCAATTAACGAGCCCTTAGCTCAGGCAGCAGAATCTGAAGCCCCTTAGAAGCCTACCAGGTCTGGCTAGCAAGTCTTATAACCTAACAAGCCTACAGGCTCGTAGCAGCTTATAACCCCTCAACAAGCTACAGTCTTGCGAGCACATAGCTTATAACCAAGTACACAAACCTGCAGGTCTGTTAGCATATGCTAATAAGCCCCTTAGTAGCTTACAGGCCTTTTTAGCAGCTTAACCTTAACAAGCCTACATGAGGCCTGCTCGCGATGATTGCTCGTTGGTAACCAATTAGTCTATTACAGTGCCTGGCGTTAGCGAATTTTGCCTAACAGGGCCCCTTAAGAATCCTACAGGTGTGTGAAATAGCCAATATGTATTCATAACAATTATTAATAATAAATTAATTGAAGATGAGAAACTTAAATTAAAGTTAAATTAAATTTAAATTAATAATTAAATTTTTTGATTAAATTAAAATTAAATTAATTAAATTAAAATTACATTAACAAACGTAGAGATGCTGTCGTGGCCTTAGTGGTTGGCTACGTATACTGTCCACTTGAGGCTGTGAGTTCTATCCCCGGCTCTCTATATGATTTTTCGCTGATATGTTTGTAAAATTCCTGGTGTGAGCGTCTGCAACATTGGCAGCTGTGAATCTCCGTGGCCTTTGGACCACGTCCGTAGAAATTGCTCGTGTGTCACGTGCAATCATAAAGTATAATCCGGTCTTAAGCTTATAACCTAATAATAAGCCTACAGGCCTGGCAGGGCTAGAAACCCTACACGAAGCCTATAGGCTGGCCTTAGGCAAGCTGAATCTCTTCTGATCTTCATATTTGCTCCTGGCAGCGGGCCTGCATGAGCAAGCTAATAACCCACTTAGAAACAGGCATACTTTGACTAGCTAGCCAAGCATTATAACCGAATTAATAAGGCCTACAGGGCCTGATGTGCAAGCTATACAGTGTCTCTCTTTAGAAGCCTAGCAGGTCTGCCTAGAACAAGCTTATAACCGCATTAAGCAAGCTTAGCCTGCTATGCAATTATATAACCATAAACCTGCGGGTGTTGTGGTCATACAGGCTGCTAGCAAGCGTAAACAAGCCCTTAGAAAAGCTCACTTGGTGCTGATCTCTCTACTATACATTGGCCTCTTAGAAGCCTACAGGTGACTGCTAGGGAGCTTATAACCAATTAACAAGCTCTACAGGCCAGCTAGCAAGGCTAACGCCCCTTTAAGCCTACCAGGTCTGCTAGCAGCTTTAACCCCTTAACAAGCCTACAGGCCTGCCTATCAAGCTTTTACCATCAACAGCCACAGTCNGCCTATGCATTCGGCGCACGGATCCATAGCTGCCAGCGCTGCATACTGTCGTAGGACGTTACCGCGGTCGCGTGCGCCTTGCCGCGGAACTGCGTGCAAGATCTGCACTCAGCGCTTCGGATCAACACCTTTCGGCAACGCTTCTCTAGTATCCCGTCTCATCTGTATAAATTTCTCGCCTCCTTTCGTGAGGGAATCTGAGGGGTTCCCCCCAAGAGCTGGTGGGTGTAGGGTAAAAGTGAAGTCCTTCTCGGGTAAAGATGGTTCTTCTTTGGAGGGCTATCTCCGCCAATTTGATCTGATATGCAGATTAAATGGTTGGAGTAAGGAGGAGAGGTTGATG